CAAATTTTTTTTTATTTTGAAATCAACTTTGCCGAAAGTGCCCCATGGCACTCGACAATTTTTTTTTTCATTTTGGGCCCAAATTTTTTTTCTCGTGGCCTTGTGACAAGATTTCAAACTCTATTTTAAAATTTGGGGCAATTTTGACTTTTTTTTGATATATTTCATTAGTTTATTTCGTTTAAATCATCGATTTTTTTTTTTGGATATTTCAAATTTGAACTGCAGGTACATGAAATAATGGACTTTGGTCATCCAAAATTGATACTCATGATATTTAGGGTATGTTTAGGCCGTATCCAGGAACTCACATGAAATCTCGAGCATCTCGTTGACGTAACATGTCGAGGTACTTGCCGGAAATGTGATTTTAAATTAGATAAAATGCAAACGAAGTCCAAAAATCACGAAACTTGTCGAGGCGTCGTGTTATCGCATGTGGAGGCTGTGGTAAAAAATTGTGAAGGTTTCAAGCAAGTTGTGACGTCGGATGCCAAAATCCCAGACATCTCCACATGTGGCGGGGCGAGGAGGCAGCGGGGGTGGCGGCGTGCGATGCGGCGTGTGTGTGAAGGGTGTGTTGTGTGCGCAAGGGTGAGGGCCGGGGGTGCGGGCCGCTGGGGGCATATGAAGGGATATGCCGAGTGCCAAGATCTAAGGCACTCGGCATTATTTTTTTATTTTCATTACGGCCCGATACTGTGCAATGGGACCGGGTCGACAAAGTTGCCGAGTGTCCCTTATATGACACTCGGCATCTATTCTTTTCGCCGAGTGTCAGGTAGAAAACACTCGACAAAATAAATTGATATTTCATGCTCCACCGTCCTCCTTCTTCATAGCATGTTCTACTAAATTTGTTAGATGTAATTTAAAAATACCTTGTCAAATTCACTCAACAATGCATATTTGATTTTTCTACGAACATTAATCCATTATTTCATGCAATTATAGCTCAAATTCAATTTATATTAATTAAAATTCTATAATTGCAGTTAATAAATTAAAATTATCAAACGGATCCGAAAAATTACCAAAATTTGACGTGAATCAATCTATGTTGTCTATTGCCTATACAAAAACTTTTGAAGTCAAACCTCAATTCAACCGTCACTTTGACTCCAAATCTTACCGGATCCTTCTCAACACTACGATTTTTCTTCGAAGATGCTTTGGTTTGTAAAGGTCGTACGTGACAAATTATGCGAAACCTTCTTAATTTTTTTTCACAATCTCCACGTATGATATCATGAGATTTTGACAAATCTTGTGATTTTCAGACTTCGTTTACTTTTTTTAGAATTTAAAAACCATTCGGCCGTCGTGTTTCCTAAACAAAATGTTCAAAAATTCTTTTCATTTCCCAAGTAAGGCCCCAAAATGGACTCAATAACATGAATATGATTTCTCCACTCGATTTATTCCATTATTTGAATCACTTGCAGCTCAAATTTGACTTAAACAAAAAAAATCCTCTAAATGCAATAAATTAATTAAATATAACAAACAGATCGAGAAATATGCCAAATTTTAACATGTAGTACCACATGTTGTATGTGGAGAGTAGAAAAAGTTTGGAGGGCAGGAGAGGAAAAAAATATTATTTTGCCGAGTACCAATAAAAAACACTCGGCAACAACATCATTTCGCCGAGTGTCAAAAAAAAACACTCGGCAAAAATATCAGTTTGCCGAGTGTCAATAAAAAACACTCGGTAAACCTTGGCTTTGCCGAGTATCTCTAACGGACACTCGGTAAAGTTATAACGACAGGGCGACGCATCCAACGGCCGTCACATGGCCGCCGCACGCCCAGTGCACGTGTATCTACTTTGCCGAGTGTCCGTGTTTGCCGAGTGTTTCGTTGTAGTTTGCCAAGTGTTTTTCATTAGACACTCGGTAAAGTTGGGTTTTGCCGAGTGCTGTAGGTTTGCCGAGTGTTGCATTAAAAACACTCGGTAAATCGGATGTTTGCCGAGTGCCCGATGAAATGCACTCGACAAACCGTCAGGCACTCGACAATTCTACTATTTCCGATAGTACGTGCTCCCTGAAAGTAGGAAATAATTTATATATATATATATATATATATTCATGCTATTTAATGCCCTCTTCCTAAAAAATGGGCATACAATATGTCCAATTCAGTTATTAGAGGCCTCCAAAATTTAAATTCCAAACGTAGTGATTGCTTCAGTGTACAATCAACCACACGCGTCTTCAAATTACAAATACTTAGTGATGCTTCACGGCACAACCAACCACAAACCACATGCATCTTCAAATTACAAACACTCGGTGATTGCTTTCAAGGCATAATCCAACACAAATCACATGGGTTTTCCAACACAGATATACAAAGCTTAACAGGGTGGTACACAACATAAAAGCCATGATCATTTTCCATGAAGAACATGAGACTCTCACCATAAAATGAACAAAATGCAGAAAATGACAGCACACCAGCTTATGCAGTACTCTGTTTTGAATTCGAGCCTAGGAAGACATCAGTGAGCACCGTCTCAGACTGCAGCGACACCTTCGGCAACGCCAAACCCTGCTGGGCATATATGGATCATCATGAAACCCACCACAAATCACATGCTTTTTCGAACACAGATACAAAGCTTAACAGGGTGATATACAATCCATGATTAATTTCCATGAAGCACCATAAAATAAACAAAATGCAGAAATTAAATGACTCAGCACACCAGCTTAAGCAGCACTCCGTTTTGAATTGGAGCCTAGGAAGACATCGGTGAGCACCGTCTGGGACTGCAGCGACGCCTTCAGCAGCGCCAAACCCTAGGCATATGGATCATCATCGTCATGAAACCGTCAGAATGTAAAGAACACACTAATCAATCTCGGTGAAATCAAATGTGCCTGAATTCGATCTGAGATACAGTATGAGAAATAACCTCTTTGTAACCGATCTCCACGTCCTTGGACTGCAGCCCGCTGATGTCGGTGACGCCGAGGGAGACGAGGGCGGTGACAGCGGTGATGGTGGAGATGGGCGCCACGGAGAGGTCGTCCATCACGGTGTACGTCACTGTATCCCGCATGTACCCGCCGCTGCTTCCGCTTCCCGCGTTCGCCGCCGCCGCAGCCGCCGCGCCGCCATCGGGCTCCACGAACTGCACCTCCGTGGTCATCTTGCGCTTGCACACGGGGCACGGCGTGCCGCTGACCCTGGTGGCGTAGTCATAGCACCTCGGGGAGCAGCTGCAGCCCTTGCACCTGAACAGCTGGCCGCCCTCCGTGTTTGACGGCGCCTCCGCCGGAGCCGCCGCCGCGGGCGTCAGCTGGAGGATTGTGGCGGGCTTGAGCAGCGCGTCTTTGGCGGCGTCGCGGCAGCAGACGTGGCCGCCGGCGTCCAGGCTCTTCAAGCTGTGGTAGAGGTTGCCGACCGAGCCGACCATGGCGCCCGTCGTCGTCGTCGTTGGGAGCTTCTCGGCCGCAGCGGTGAGCCGTTGATGGTGGAGCGGTTGGGCCCCGGTGCCGCTCGTGGCCAGGAGCTTTGTCACCGCGGAGAGGGGGAGGGCGAGCAGGGAGAACAAGAAATCGACGACCTCCTTGCCGGCCTCGGCGAACACGACCCGCTGCGCCTTGGTGTCCACCAGGAGCTTCATGGTGAGAACGGCGGTAGGCGTAGGTCCCGGTGCCATCTCAGCAACCGCGCGCGCCACACGATATCGGGGTGCGGCAGCCGGCAGCAATGCGAGCAGCGCCAAACGCTTTGACCGACGGGCGACGGAAGCGCCAAACGCTTCGATCGCCACGCGATGGCCGTCTCGCTTCCGTCCCCATTCCTCGATCCTCCACACGTCTCCCCACACTACTGGGCTAAACTTGCGTGGGCCGAGTTGGATATTACCAAGCTTACGGCTTGGCCCACCCAAGTGCCCGAGGCTCCTAAACCTTGTTGACCGGCCGGCCATCCGCAGTTCCGCACACGAAACAGCAGGCGCAAAATAGTAGTAGAACCCAAAACCCATCGACCTCGTCGCCGGCAGCGCCAGCGGCGGGCATCAACAGCAGGTCAGCAGCACCGTGAGCGCCTCCCCTTCGTTCTTCACCACGCTAATCCTCCTTCACCTCCTCCTTACTTTTGTTTTTTTTTTCTGTTCCTTTTATTGTTTTTATTTACTCCAGATGAGTGTACTGTGTACCTCCCTACCTGATTTCGACCATTCCCAACTTGCCGTGCGATTGCGCAGATGTTGTTGTTGCTGATTTACGTCCCTATGTTTGGATGGTGATTATCCCACTCTTCACGCGCTGCCTGGGGATTACTAGGGTTTTGGTGGTTGGGCTAGAGTTGGGTTTGGATTTGGGCCAGGGCTGTATTCTGCGATGGACATGAACAAGCATTGAGGGAATCTGATCCTAGGTTGTCTGTCACAATATAGGAAACGAATGTGACGTCCACGATTTTTCTAGTTGTGGTTTAAATTTGGTTGTCCCATTAATTTCTGTCTCTCCCAAGTGCTAGGACAATTTTTCGTACCTTGTTTTTATGTCCATTTTCTGCCTTCTCTTAATACAGCATTATTCAGGGAAGAAGATTACTCAAAGACTGAAGCTGTATACCTATACCAGTTTGACAAATTTGAACATGATGATGCTCTGTTTTTTTTTAAGGACGTGATGCTGTTTTATTACTGGGCTATTGGCCATCATGGAAATGTAGATCAATTGGTACTCAGCTAGTAACCAAAGACGATGTTCTTTTTGTGCGATCAGTTTCTCCTGGTTTCTACTTTATAGAAGTTGACAGAATATTAATGTTTCTCCTTCTGCTGATCACCTCCATTAAAATCAATTGGTCTGTTGCAAAATTGAAACACACATTTTCTTTCCACCTTTCTAGCAAATCTGAACTCTAACACTAGTTAATTATGAATGCCTTTATAACTTCCTTTTCGTGGTGGCAGGAGCAGACACCAATAAGCCTCCAAGAGATTGGAAGACTTATGATAAGGGCAGGATATCATGGCTACTAATGAATTGTCGTTGAAGCTCTTGATTGACATCAGGGCTCAGAAAGTCTGCTTTGCTGAGGCTGGCAATGATGTTGTTGAGTTCCTCTCCACCCTCTTGTGCCTCCCTGTGAGCACCGTCATCAACTTGCTTACCAAGGAGCGAATGGTTGGCAGCATTGGGAATGTTCTTGACAGTCTGCAGGAACTGGACACCAAGTATGTGATCTCGTCAACCAGGAGCAAGAAACTCTATGTCAGCCCAGCTGTTGCTCCCAGTGTGCTGCATCCTTTGCAGCCGTTGCTGGATGTACCGCTAAATGTCAGTGATAGCTTTTTCACATGTCATGGAAAACCAGGCAGCTATGGAACACTTGTTGCATGTGGCTATTTTTCTGCTATCAAAGACACCATATGCCATAGTTGCTTCAAGCCAATGGGTGTAGAAATGAAACATATCAAAGCAGATGGGTTGGTGCCTGGGACTGCCACGTACACTGTCATGGATGTTCTATCAATAACTCCGGCATCCAGCGTGTCTAGCATTGCCGTGCTTGCGCAGAGTGGTGTGAAGGATCTGAGCACGCTGCAAGAAAAGATCGTGAAGATTGGCAAGGAAGAGGTTGCGTATTTTTTTATTATTCACCTTGTAGAAAAGAAAGTTGTTCTGGTACTTTCAAACCTTTTGTGTTTATTGTGATTTATGTATCCAAATGCAGGCGTTGGAGATACTCCTTGCTTCCTTGAAGTCCAAGACCGTCCTGACCGATGTCTTTCTCCAGAAGAAAAAAGTTCGATGCAAGAAGGAAACTGCTGCTTAATAATGCATGCATGACCACATTTCTATTGGGCATCTCATGCCCAGATCGCCACCAATAGTTCACTCAGAATGGTAGTTACAAGTTAAAGCTACTCCACCGAGGACAAATCAGCTATAATCCCTTCAGTAAGCTGAAGAACTACTGCCAGTGGAGTCTTTCATGCTTTGATGGCCTTTTCGAATGCTACGAAGCAAAATAGATGGATATATGGCCTTGTCTTGTGTTACTTTTTTCTACCAGTGATTGAACAATTTTAGTAGGCTGTTGATTTTCATTTGACAGATACTGAATTGGAGGTGCTTACTACTGCGGCCAAAATTTGTTTTGTGATTTCTAAATATTTCTTCAATTTAGTCTCCAAATTCTGTTGACACCATAAAATCAACTGGCTGGACTTTGGAGCACGAAAAAGAGCCGATGCCAACAAATTTGAATCCTAGGTCAACAAGGAAGCTGGGGGGGGGGGGGGGTTGCGGGGCGCAGTGGTCTTAGAATCCACGTTTATCGTTGTCAAACCTTTGCGTGTCTCTGCTATGATTCTAGATGCTTAATAAACTTCGCACTAATATAGGATAGTACTTTAGTTTATCTCTAGCACTAGCCAGTTCTTTGTGAGAAGTTTGCCTGGTCAAAGTCTCAGTGTTTGTGAAGTTCTGCCACACAAACCCATAATATGACTACTTCACAATGCTGATGAATAGCGTTTTTTCTTTCTTTCAATGCACGTATGCTTCCTGATTATTGGCATTAGCATTGGCTATGATTTCTTCATGTTTCCTCCAATTATTGTGCGTTCAGGCATGTCCCTATGAATAAATCCTCCTTTTCTAGAAAAGAACATATTCCTCCACCTCATCTTGATCACTCTATTCTCAGATGGAAATAAGACTTCAAGAGAGAGCTTGGTTTGGTTTGCATCAAAGCCAAGCACAGTGTTAGAACCCCCCCTACTTTTGTGGTTAGAGAGTATCCCTTAACTGTAATCTGCTTTTTCAATTTGGGCTTTGAAAGCCTTGTAATTTGTACAGGAATATATAATGAAAAATTTAAGTAGGGGCCTCCCCTGCTGTTCCCTCAAAAAAAGGAGAGATCACAAGAATCACTAACCGCCATGGCATCCAGGACCAGCTTCAAGAGCTTTGTTCTGCGAGTTTCTGCAGCTCTTATCTTCCTAGGAAGCCTCACCTGCAGTTGCTTCGAATTCAGCTACCCAACCTTCGACACAGCCAACCAGGCTGATTTCAGCTTCAGCCCAGGCTCAGGAATGGCAAATGGATCCCTGCGGATCACGCCGAGCAGCGGAAACATCAGCGGCCGATCAGGAAGGGTCTACTACGCGAGGGAGACCCTCAACCTCTGGAACAGCGAGATGGCAGCGCCGGCGTCGTTCTTCACCGAGTTCGTGCTCAACATCCAGCCACAGAATGGGACTGTTGGGGAAGGTATGGCTTTCATACTCACAAATAACCCGGCACTTCCCAGCGACAGCAGCGGGCAGTGGCTCGGCATCACCAACAACCAGACGGACGGCGCGATCACGAACCATGTTGTCGCGGTAGAGTTTGACACGAGGAAGAGCTTCAAGGACGACCCTGATGGAAACCATGTCGGGATCGACATCGACAGCATCAGCTCAACTTATTGGTACCCACTCAGTAATCTTTCCATGGTTCTGTCTAGTGGGTCTGATGTGTGGGTTAGAATAGAGTACGATGGCACTGCTGCAATGTTGAGAATACAAGCAGTCCAGAAAGGTCACACCTTCGAGTATTTTTGGCCCCTTGATCTGTCACGGCATCTCTTATTGGAGAACCTCACTCTCGGTTTCGCAGCTTCAACCGGTGATTTCACTGTACTGAATCAGATAAAGTCATGGAATTTCAGTACGCCTGGCGCCGACTCCAACAGTAAATTGGGGCATAGGAGGAAGCTGACTTTGGTTCTTGCCTTACTGGCCCTATTTCTGATTGCTCTGTCATCGTCTCCGGTGTTCTTCGTATGGCGAAGGATGAAAGGACAGCGAAGGCTAGCCTACCGCAACCTGGAGAAGATGATCGACGCACATGGTCCGGTCAGATTCAAGCTCAGGGAGCTCAGCACTGCAACTGCCAACTTCAGTCCTGCTCGTAAGCTTGGCCATGGCGGCTTCGGCACAGTTTACCTTGGCTACCTTCATAGGATGACGATGAACATAGAGGTGGCCGTGAAGCGGGTGTCGACGACCGGGAACTCCAACCAAAGGGAGCAGGAGTTCCTGGCGGAGGTGAACACGATCAGCAAGCTCTCGCACCGCAACCTCGTGAAGCTCATCGGGTGGTGCCACCAGAGGGGCGAGCTGCTCCTCGTGTACGAGTACTTCCCCATGGGCAGCCTGGACAGGCACCTGTATGCCGGCGAACGAAGCACCGGCGCCTCCACCCCGGCGACAACCGTCGCCGCCAGTCCGGAGCTTACCTGGGACCGGCGGTACAAGATCATCTGCGGCGTGGCGTCCGCGCTGGAGTACCTGCACCACGGGAGCAGCAGGCGGATCCTCCACCGGGACGTGAAGGCCAGCAACGTGATGCTGGACGAGGAGTACAACGCGCGGCTGGGCGACTTCGGCCTCGCCCGCGTCATCGAGCGGGACGGCGTGACGCACCACTCCACGAAGGCGCGGTGCCCGGCACCCGCGCGTACATGGCGCCGGAGAGCTTCTTCACCGGCCGCGCGACCCTCGCCACGGACGTGTAGGCGTTTGGCGTCTTCTTCATGGAGCTCCTCGTCCTCAGCGGGAGGAGGCCGAGCAGCCCCGTGCTGTACTGCAACGTCAACGGCGACGAACGCGATGAGCCAAGCCGCAGCAGGCGTGGCCGGCACCGCCGCACCGGCAGCAGCAGCAGCCCATGTACATCGTGGACTGGACCTGGAGGCTCTACGGCGAGGGCAGAGCGATACACGCTGCCAACGACGCAGTGCTGCACAACGGTGCCGAGCTTGACCCGGCGCAGGTGGAGCGCGCGGTGAGGCTGGCGTTGGCGTGCTCCCATCCGAACCCGAGAGAAAGGCCGTCCATGAGGACGGCGGTGCAGGTGCTGATCGGCGGAGCTAAGGCGCCAGAGCCACCGTTCCACAAGCCCGCGTTTGTTTGGCCTCCTAGCGGTGGCGGCGGCGAGCCGGAGAGTCAAAGCATCTCCAACAAATTTAAGAAAAAATTACAAAGATTTAGACTATGAAAATATGATTAATGAAGAACCTAATGATATATAGTTGATATGATAAATGTTATCATGTTATCATATAAATTTGAGATGCTTTGACTTTACAAGATTTTTGGAATGACTTATAATTTAGGATGGTGAGAGCATGTTGCAAGTGTTTTATATAAATATTGTAAAAGTAGATCGTGATGCTGTAAAAGTAGATCGGGATTGCATAAGCTGCAATGATTGTACACGTATGTTGCAAATGTGCTCCTAATGTTTCATTTGTTTTTCAGACCTCTATTGCAAGTGTGTTTATGGATGTTGCATATGTTTCACACATATATTCCAGTTGTTTTATCCAAATGTTGCATATGTTTGTAATAGTTTTAAGATGTTTTTGCAAATGTTTTAGACACATGTTTCAAGTGTTCATCTGTCTTATTTTGCATGTTGCATCTGGATATTTCAAAATTAGATTGAGTGTTGCATATGGAATGTGCGTGGGAAGCGGAAGAGGCGCGAGTGGTCCTCGCACTTGGTCTTGCGGCGCGGGCGATGTCCGAAGCGGCGCGGGCCCGCTGCTGGGGCGCTCGCTTGCAAGTCCGATGCTGCTAGGGCGCTTGGTCGCTCGCTCCGCGGCCACCGTCCGATGCTAGCGCCTTGGATCGGATGTTCAGGCGATAGCAAGTCTGTTTTTCCAATCCCTTTATGCAAGCATCGTTCATTTGCATATTCAGTTAGCCAAATTCCTGAGTTTTTTATTATGAAAAAGACAAATTCTTGAGTTCGTGCAACGTTTTAGAAAGGAAAGATTTTTTTTAGAAACGAAGTTCGTGCAACTTTAGCCTGATCATTAGTAGAAACACGGGCATGTGTTTACTTTAGGGACTTCTAGGATGGAATAAACCCATCCCTAATTTTTAGGATATACATCGATCTATACTTAGTACCGTGTAATTCTAAAAAAATCATATCCTATGTTTGGATTTGGGGACACATGCAGTGAGATGAGGTTGCTAACATATGGGACTCATGTGATCAAACAGTAGCCATTGATTCAAGACTATTTACTCAAATGATTTACCAGATTCAAGTAGACAAATTTGAGCTAAAACCCATGCCAAATCATCCTCGTCCAAACAGATTGTGTAAAATTCCTACTCCGTGACACCATTTCCCTTATGCCTCATTGTGAACAACTTGTCAATTCCCAGGGTAAGACTCATGGCCTAAACGCCACTGCTTCACCTCAGTTTCGCGTGGCACCTTGGTTGACGAACCGCTTCAAGATCCGGACCAACTCCTCGTTCGCCTCGCTCCAGCCTTTTACGGTGAAGCCATGGCGCTCCCCCGCAAACTCGGCCAGCTCCACAGCCTTTCCCATCTCCTCCAACCTCGCCGCGTAGCGCCGCATGTGGTCCCGGAGCGTGTCAAGCCCTGGCACCACGACGAGCGCCGGTGGCAGCGGCAGCGGCTCCAGGCCGGGGCTGTCCCGAGCGAACGGGTTGGGCAGCGGGTGATCTCTGGTGGCGCCCGCCGGCAGCACCAACCGCCAAATCTGATCGAACACGGCCGTCAGGGACACGCTGGCCGGTGACTCGGACTCCGTCGCCGTGCGCTCGGCGCTGCCAAAGAACGCAGACAAGAGCACGTAGCCGGCGATGCGCGCTGGGTGGACCGCGAGCTTCCCCGAGGCGATCTGAACCACGACGTGGTGGGCGAGGTTCGCGCTGGCCGACACGCCGGACACGAACGTCTGGGCGAAGTTGGCCGACTCTTCGAGCCACGGCTCGGTGCCTTGGGCGCCCGCCGCGGCCTGCCTTCGCAGTCAGGAGAAGAACGTCACGCCGTCGTCGATGGCCGCGGGCAGGCGGTGCTCGGGCGCGAGGCGGTACTGGACGGAGAGCACAACGGCGGGGAGCTCGGCGGCGAAGCGCTGGCAGCAGGAGTGGAACATGGGCTTGTCGTAGGCGCCGACGCAGTACCCGCCGCCGTGGAAGTAGACGAGCACGGGGAGCTTCCCGCGAGCCACCGCCAACGGCCTTTACACGCGGACCTTGAGGCCGCGCGCCACGTCGTAGGCGACGTCCTTCCACTGAACGCCGGGGACGTACGTGAACGGCCCTGCCGGCATGTGGACGGATTCGTCGCCACGGACAACGGAGCCGGACGACGCCGAAGAAGTCCTCGACGACGTGCGGCGCGGCGTCGCTGGACATGGTGAGCGATCGATCGACGGCGTCGGCGAGACGAGAAACTGGCCTTGAAAGTAACAACACGCCACACACGGTTTCAGCGTTGGATCTGAATGGAACTGAATAGAGAGGCTGACACAGACACCTCGCACCGGACGTGCCAGGTCGAACATGTTGCGAGGTTTCATATGGCAACCATTGTCCGGGAGAGAAATATCTAAGCTAACTCAATAGTCAACACGGGTTTTGCCCCAATATAATAAATTAAATATTTTAAAATCTGAATACTAATCCGGATACGCCATATGAGATGTGACGACATGAGAGTGACTTGAAGCCATTGCCAATATCTCAAATTCTGAATCGCGGAGGTCCGTAGGTTAGATGGTACTGTAAGTAATAAATAATAAAATACTCCAACTTTTATTTAGAAAAGAGATAGAAAACCCGATAAATTTGAACTTTCATTCAAAGCTATTAGTGTGACAATTGTGAGCTGGATTGCTCGAGCAGATAACAACACCAACCTATGACCTCAATTGAGCACGGCACGGCAGCGACGGCGCCGTGGTTTATGAACTGCTTCAGGATTCGCATCAACTCCTCTGTCGCCTCGCTCCACTGTCCGACAGCGCTCACTTGTCTGAAACTTACTGAAATTGGCTGAAAACACTGTTCTAACTGAAATATTGTGAGAGAAAAACACTGTTCCGGCTGAAAAAAAGCCCGAACAAGCCGAATTTAAGGTCAGCCGAACGGGGTCGCTCCCCGGGAACTCGGCGGGCGGCCTTCCCCATCTCCTTGAGCCTGGTGGCGTAGCGAAGCACATGGTCATACAGCACGTCACGCCCGGGCGCCACGACGAGCGCCGGCGGCAGCGGCAACGGCTCCAGGCTTGGGCTGTCGGGGCCGAACGGGTTCGCAAGCGGGTGGTCCCTGGTGGCTCCCAACGGCAGCGCCATTCGCCAGGCTATGTCGATCGACTGCACCGTCACTGACACTCTGGCCGGAGGATGGGACTCCGACGCCACACGCTCGTCGCTGCCGAAGAACGCGGCGAAGAGGACGTATCCTGCGACACGCACAGTGCCTAGGATGATCTGCCCGGAGGCGATTTGGACCACGACGTGGTGAGCCAGGTTGGCACCGGCCGACACGCCGGACACGAACGTCCTGGAGAAGTCGGCCGATTCGGCAAGCCACGGGTCGGCGGCAGTGCCCGATGCCGGTGCGGCCTGCGCGCGCAGCCAGGAGAAGAACGTCGCGGCGTCCTCGACGGCAGCGGGGAGACGGTGCTCGGGAGCGAGGCGGTACTGGATGGAGAGCACGACGGCGGTGACCTCGGCGGCGACGTGCTGGCAGAAGGCGTGGAACCCGGGTTGGTCGTCAGCACCGATGCAATAGCCGCGCTCCGTGGAAGTGCACGAGCACCGGGAGCCGCCTGCCGCCTTTGGGCGCGGCCTCCTCCGGCGACCTGTACAGGCGGACTCTGAGGCCGCGCGCCGGCCGGTCGTACACGACGTCCGTCCACTGAACGGCCGGGACGTCGGGGAATGTCGCTCCCGGTGGAGTGAGGACGGATTCGTCTGCGCGGACGACGGAACCGTCGCTGAGGAGCTGGACGACGCCGAGCAAGTCCTCCACGACGTGCGGTGCGGTGGTGATGCCGGACATGGTGCTGGGGTGACGATGTGCCGCGCTCGACGCTGGCAGCACGTTCGCTGCGTCGTATTCGGCTTATAAGCCATGACTTATCAGCCAATAAATAATATTTTTTTCACATCAAACCAACAATAATAGTACTTTCAGTTATGGTTTATAAATCAAACCAGCTAAACGAAAACGGCGATCTATAGGCAAAATTTCTGCATGCGTACGTTCGCTTTATTCTGAATGGAAATCGGAAAACTTAAATGGGGCACGCGATCGCGAATTCGCTATCCGTGAAGGTTCTTGTTGTGCGCGCATGTCACGGTCGCTTGTGGACTTGCCAGGCCCAAGCGGACCCAGGCTTCCTCATCATGTGCTCGAATTTAGCCGTGACTTTGGAGGCCGCCCACCGTCTGAGAAAAATCAAGAGAACGAGCTACTTGGCGGCAATAGAGAGCTACGGCTAGAAGGTGAGACGCATCGCATTCGCATTTCACAGCCTTGCATTTTCTACCCACCGAATCTTTCTTTTCGGGATCGTGTCATGTCACGTTTTTCATTAAGCAGAAGAGACTGATGTTGATCAGGAGTGGTTGGTTCCATGATTTTTCATGCTTATCGAGTTATCTTTTTTTTTTTTTGAGAATGCCTATCGAGTTATCTGTGTCTAACTTAGCTAGCTTTTGTGCATGCGTGTAATCAGGGGGTGGAGGATAGGTAAGACTGACCTGGGTCATGGTCACCCCTAGGTTCTTTTTTAAATATAAAAAATAAATATACACTAATCTATGGCTAAATTCATTCAATTCGTGCATCGTTAGTGATCCCCCTAATTCATTGATACCCCTTTTAGGGCTTGGTTCAAGCTCCGCCACTACACGTAATATCTTTCATAGTTGTAAGGGAAAATTTGCTAGCGGACACTGCAAGTGATGTCGCTTTGCCAGCGGACACTGAAAAAAGATCGATCTGCTGGTGGACACTCTAGTTTGTGCTAAATTTGTAGGAGGACACCGAACACATTAAAATATTTATTCTTAGTTCAGAAGGTGAGAGAACATCTGTGAAATGACGTTTTTGCCACTATGTGTAATGTCTTTCATCATAGTTGTAACGGAGATTGAATTATGCAATGTATTTTTTCTACACTTCTTGTATCTGTTTATTTATTTATTACTATATGTTTTGGGATATAATGTTACTCCCTCCATTACAAAATTTAAGATATTTTGACTTTTCTTTTTATATATATATATATATATATATATATATATATATATATATATATATATATATATATATATATATATATATATATATATATATATATATATGTATGTATGTACCTACCAAAAAGTTTGTAATTTGGAATGGAGGAATTACATCTTAATAGGATCCACAAGGGAGGCGAACACGAAACACGCGAGAGGATCCGTCGCGCGCTGCTGTCTGCTGACATCGAGAGAGAGGAGCAAGTCATGGCAGCTCGCATCCGATCGTGATTTCGCCAGATTTTTAGTCGACTCCCCGATACGATAGCATCGCCGGTGTTATTGGAGCATGGCCGCTAAAACTTGGCGTAAACAACGACAGCGACTTGATTGATTGATGAGTGAAAAACACGAAAATGCGAACAAGAACGGAAAGGCGAGCAACACCAACTCGACGAGGACGGCTCTACCACCATGGCATCATCAACCATAGGCCGGGCCGCCGGCGTCAGCGCCGCCGATCACTTCAAGTGGAACACCGGTGTACAAATCGTTTCAAGATCCGGACCAACTCCTCGTTCGCCTGGCCCCACCGACGAACGGAGAAGCCGTGCTGTTCCCCCTGGAACTCGGCGAGCTCCACGTCCTTCCCCATCTGCTTCAGCCGCGCCGCGTAGAGCAGCACGCGGTCGCGGAGCACGTCGACCTCTGGCGCCTCGACGAGCACCGGCGGCAGCGCCACGGGCTCCAGGCCGGGGCTGTCGGGGCCGAACGGGTTGGCCAGCGGGTGGTCGAAGGTTGCCCCGACCGGCAGCGCCATGCGCCAGAGCTGATCCGACATGGCGACCGTCAGCGAGACGCCGTCCGGGGGGTTCGACTCCGTCGCGGCGCGCTGGACGCCGCCGAGGAACAAGGACAGCAGGACGTGCCCGGCGAGGCGCACCGGGGCGAGGTCGATCTGCCCGGAACCGGCCCGGACCGCGAGGTGGTGGGTCAGGTTAGCGCCGGCCGAGACGCCCGACAGGAACGTCCGCGCGAAGTCAGCCGACTCCGCGAGCCAGGGCTCGGCGCCGCCGCCGCCGCCACCTCCTGCGGCGGCGGCGAGCAACGCCTGCCCGCGCAGCCAGGCCAGGAACGTCGCGCCGTCCTCGATCGCCGCCGGGAGACGGTGCTCGGGGGCGAGCCGGTACTGGACGGAGAGAACGAGCGCGGGGAGGTCGGCCGCGAGGCGGCGCCGGAGGTAGTGACCGCCTCCGAGCTGGTCGTAGGACCCGATGCAGTAGCCGCCTCCGTGGAAGTGCACCAGCACCAGGAGCTTATTTCTGTTACCTCCGTCGCCGGCGTCCGCCGCTGTCGCCGCCGCCGCCGGCCTGTACAGGCGGACCTTGAGGCCACGCGCCGGGTCGTACACGGCGTCCTTCCATTGAACCCCCGGAACGTCCGGGAACGGCTCCGGCGGCATCAGGAGCGCCTCGTCGCCGCGCACGACGGTGCCGTCGCTGAGGAGCTGGACGGCCCCGAAGAAGTCCTCCACGACGTGCGGCGCCGTGTCGCCGGACATGATGGTTGGTGATGATCGTCACGAGCTCACGATTGGCTTGGATCTAGGAGGTTGTCTGGATGGACTGAAGAGTCGCAGTTTGTCTTGTCTGCTGGCGCACTCGCATCTGTATGGATTCGGATCCGCATCATCGCGCAGCAGGCATGTGGACAAGTGGTCGCCGGCGCGTTGACTGGCTGTCTGGTTGAGATCGAGAAACGCTCTGTATTTGGAAAGATAATGAATGCGATTTGGGGTTTGTTTTCCTTATTACCATAACTAGGATTGATATGGGCCGACGTTAGATTAGGTTGGGCTTATATGCGCGCGTGAGATTCTAGCCCATCTTGTCGAATGTTTTCTTGGCCCATTGAGTTACCATGAAACTAGAGAGAAACAATAAAATTCTTTCAAACGGAAACCCTTGTTACAGGGCGTCCGAATGGACGGACCCTGCACTTGCTCATGCAACCCCCGTTCGTGTCACCTGCTTGCTCTGCTCGCGGGACGCACCTCGTCCTTGCCGCCGCGCACGGCGAGCCCGATGCGCTAGGCACTACTACTGTAATCTTAACGAGGCGGGCAAAAGAGTTTAACGAGGCGAGCAATCCAACCGCCTCCGTCAAAAGGTCATGGTTAATACTAGCCTTAGGTCCAACCGCCTCGGTTAATCGATTAACCGAGACGTGACGCCTCAAGATAACCACCTCAGTTAATAATTTCACGAAATAAAAACGAAGCCCACCGAGCCCGGTACCACACGCCGCCATAGCCCATAGTAGGATCCACGCCGCCGCAGCCGTCGGTGACTGGATCTGCTCGGTGGTGGTTGGATCTGCGCCCGCCGCCGGAGGACTATTGAGGGCGGATCTGGTGGCCGACTCACGAGGGACATGGAAGGGGCGCCGTGCTCAGAGGAGATGGAAGAGCCGATGTGTTGTGCTCGGAGGAGAGGCGCGGCCGCCGAGATCCACCGCCCTTGATCCGGCGATGGGCGCGGCCACCGAAAATCCTCCGTCGGGGGTCGCCACGTGGGTTGCGATCGTCGGTGCGGGCCGCCCCATATGCCACCACCGCCAGTGCGGGCCCCCCCCACGCACCGCTGACTACGTGTGGTGGCCGCCCCGTTGGCCACCGCCGCCGGAGGGGGCTGGCCCGCGCCGCCTCCTCCTCGCCATGGCGTGGAGGGATGGATCGGTCCTCACGTGGAAGACCGACGAGAGAGAGACGGACGAGAGAGAACGACGGATGAGACGACGACGAGAGAGAGAGAGAGAGAGAGAGAGAGAGAGAGAGTTTATTTCCGCGATGCTCCTAGAAGACCGCGCCGCTCAGATTCGTTTCCGTGGATGTGTAGAACGCGCCTGCTCATATCCAAAAACCACCGGCACCATCTCCTGTTTTGCGAAACCGCACGCGTGGCGAGCCACAAGTGGTCACCAGCCCCACTTCTGGATCGCTGATGTGGAGTAGCACACGGATCACCCCAGCGCGCAACACATTTGTGCTTTCTCACTGTGACTCGACACGCGGGCCCCACTCCTACTCCCACTCCTGTTCCTGTGCGCGCCTCGAGGTCTGTACGCGGCGCTAAATAACCAAGGTGGGTGGCTTTAGTAGTCCGACTCGGTTAATGGTTTGTTAAATGGGCAACCGCCTTGATTAATAGATATTAACCGAGGCTTTTCTTTTATTTGTCCGCCTCGGTTAAGCATTAACCGAGGCGTTTGCTGGACCGGCTGCACTGCCACAAATAACCGAGGCAGGCAACCGGTCCAAACGTCTTGGAGCCCATTTTCAAAACGCCTTGTAAAATTTTCTGTGTAGTAGTGAGGCACTTGCTACCTTACTCCCGGACTCACGCCTCTCGTCGCGGCCACGCTCCATCCACCTGCCCTTGCCCTTGCCGAGGTTCATGTCGCCAACGAGCTCCACAACGGCGAGCTCCGCGCCACTCCGTAGCTTCAAGCTCTGCGTCGACGAGCCTCCACTCGTCCAAGCAGCAAGCAGATGCTACGCTGACAACGCATGTTGCAATAATATGTTTAAAGTGTTTCAGAGGTATGTTGTAATTGTTGTATATCGATGTTGCAAAAGTAGATCAAGATGCTGCACATGTTGTAATGGCTATACACGGATGTTTTAAGTGTATGTTCTAAATGTTTCATCTGTTCTAGGCAAATATTGCAAGTGTTTTGTCTGGATATTGCAAAACTAGATCTAGATGTTGCATATACATGAATGTTGCAAGCTTTTAGGTTGTTTCAATAACTTCACAAGTATGTAAGTGTTTTATCTGCATGTTGCATATATTTGCAATTGTTTTCAAATATTTTGTTTTAAAAGTAGATTAAATGTTGCGCAGGGGATGCACGTGGAAAAGCGGCCGTAAGTGTTTGTCCGGCGCTTATTCAAGTGTTTTATTTATCTTTTTTTGTTGCGTTATCGCTTGATATGTCTGAATTCGTTTTAAATCAACGAAAAAATTATGGGATGTTCGCTGGTATTGTTGTGAGGAATTTGGATGGTTTGGAGCGCCCGCACACACGATGAAAAAGACGTCCAGGGTGGCACGGGCCCCTATGTAACGGTTATCCATTCGACTACAGACAGTGTTCAAAGTCCAGGCTTGCCATGCTCTATACTCCTACATGGTAGCAAGGAAGCCGCACGCTGCCGCTCAAACTGATTAGACGTCTGACCACCAGCTAGCGCTAAGTTCGTCTTTCAAATCCGCGCCGTTCTCTCTGTAAACAAAGCGCTTCACGACTCAGATCATCTCGACGACGCGTGGTGCCGTGTCACTGGACATGGTGCTCCACAGTCGACACTGCATGAAACGGCAGTTCGCTGATTGTAGATTCGAAGGCGTGTCGTGTCATTTATATACCGAGTACTACTCCAGTAGTGAACACTACTTGCAGTTGTAGTCGTCTTTACCTTGTAAAAAAAGCAGAAACTCGTTCGTTTCGTGTACACCAAGTCGGGTGAGAGTGAGAAGCTGTGGTAGGTCTGGCTCTCTGGTGGTGGGAACTTGGGAATGAAGAAAAGAGAAGTAAAGGAAATACCAGTCAAAGTCCATATCGTGGATAAGATCATGTGTTTATTGTAATACTAGCATTCTGTATCCGAATGAAGTTTACAAATGTGGACTTTGTGGGGGTACGGAGTGGTTACACTACTAGCACGCGATGATTCTGTGTGTTGGGAAACAGACGTGGAACTGGTTTGTTGGTTCATGGTTTTTTGCAGCGAGATGTTTCACGTTGATGTCCGTTTTGTGTAGGCATGCACTTGCGTGGGCCTGCCAGGGAAAAAAGTCCTTGTGCCACTTTCCCCCGCTCAAGTACGATCATTTCCTTCCCCACTTATTAGATCGAATGTTTGTCCTCTTAACTCTTAAAACTCCTTTTTTTTTTTTTGCAAAGTACTCCCTTGATTCCAAATTTTAAGACAATTTAACTTTTTTTAGATACACATCGCTTAGATATACACTATATTTAGATCCATAATAAAAATATTATATATAGAAAAGTCAAAATGTCTTATAATTTGAAACGGAGATAGTATCAAAGTAGTTAGTTGAGACAGTGGCTTCAGCTTACGTAGCGCCACATCAACTGCGAGAGTGGTAAGAAGCCTATTTGGGTAGAGTTCCTCCCGCTCCTGATTCTATATGAGAAGTCATTTTCTAATAGAAGTGATTCTCGTGGATTATCTAAAATAAACTATAGGTAAAAGATGTCTCTGTGCAAAAAAATGAATCCAAAGAAGCTATTTTTTCAATTTCTTGCCTCTTAGTTCATTTTAAAGAACCATTCATAGAATCAGCATAAAATCACTTTTATATAAAAAAATAATGTGAGACAGAGCTCATCTTAGATTTAGCACTAAAGACGCTCTCGTAGCTCTGACAAACAAACTTATAAACTAGACTGCGTTGATAGTTCAAAGGTCTAATGGACTTTACCAAAATAGGGGACTTTACCAAAATAGGCTATACAAACACTTCTTAAAAAAAACACTTTTTGGGAAAAATTGTATATAATTAAAAAGGGTTTGACTATTCTAAACCGGGTAAAAATCTTATCTCCACTCCTGAATTTTTTCCTATCTTTTCCTTTGCCTTTCTTCTCCCTAAATAACATGCATGCATGAAAGGAAATAAAACTAAGATTTCAATGAAAATCTTCTCCCACACCAATTTTTTTTAAGGAAACAGGAGGGGTTGCCCCTACTGGACTTTTATTGATTTTGAAGTTTACAGAATTTACAGAGTGCCAACAACTATACTTAGGATACATGGAAGGAAACAAAGAAGATCATGAAAATTATACAAAACTGTTTAGCCATTGGTCTAACATTGGTTGATAATTTCCTTTAGCTCTAAGCTTAACTAGTGCTAACTCCTTTCGAAAAATGAACTTGCAGGAGGCTAATGAGTGCTGAATGCTTCTGAAGATATTGTCATTCCTGGAAGACCAGATAGCCCAACACATAGATATAATTATTTCCATGAAGAAAGGTCTCTGAAGGTGATCTCTGAAGACGGCAAGGGTTTGTAGCAACTCAGACTCCACAAGATGAGCTAACCACAAAGTATTCCAACAAGCCAATGCAAAAGGACAGTGGAAGAGCAAATGCATTAGTGTTTCATCCAAAAGACACAGTACGCAGCTGTAGCATTCTAAGGCCATGTTCTTTCTTCTGAGTAAAGCTGTACTGATTCTATGTTTGAGTAAAGCGCCTGCCAGCGTAGTCCGATCATCCCGGAAGACCGTGTTGTTCCTGCGTTTCCAGATGTGCCAGCAGCATCAGAGCAAGAATGTTCCAAAATGAGCTTGTGGTATGTGTGGTGGTGGTCTGATCTCTTGAATTAGAGAAAGCAGCTGCAATAATTCACGCACAATATCAATATCATCATGTTGACTCATCATATACAAAAGATAATTCTATTAAACTTCTTACTTGCCATGAAATCGGCTCAATTATGAGAATCTTCAAATTATAAAAGGAGCTTCAGATATTACATCCCAACCACATCTGTTTGTATCCATTCATACCAAGAATCACATCCGGAACCTCATGTACTTGCCATTCATCAAGCAGCTCCTTAAACACTAGTTGACCTATTCAATTCAGCAGCTTAACCTTCATAATGCAGCACCAGAGGTGTTTGACATCATCGAACAAGACAGGTGGCATGCATAACAAGACGAAGTCAATATATCAAGCCAACGGAAGAATCTGCAAGTTTTTTTAAGGAAAAAAGGCAGGAGCATTGCTACTGAATTAAGAAAAAGATAAGTTCAGTAGAAGGACATGACGCACTTGCATACCACACAACACCCGGGCCGCTAACACTTGGCGACAAAAACATGCAAAAAATCTGTAAGTTTTTAGAATGGAATGTATAATAAAACTGTGCTTGGGGGTTTTATCTGCAATGCTGCCTGTGTTAAACAAATATTAGATGCATCACACTCCAAGGATTTAAATGTGCAGGCCAGAACCAGAAATTCTATCAGATAGAGACTGCCGACGGCCTATCTCATATATTTATGCAAATCATGAATGGCTTTACGTCATCCAATTACAGGACAAAGTTGTATATAATGCAGGGACAGACAGAGGATCGATTCTATGCCACGAGGGAGAAGAGAAAGGAGGGTGTTATGGCTAGGAAGGATAAGGTGCCAAGAGGGTTCATACCAGTTCTGATAGGACAGGGGGAGGAGAGGGAGAGGATCCTCGTGCATATGGAGCAGTTCAAGCAGCCCTACTTCCTTGAGCTCCTTGATATGGCGGTGCAGGAATTCGGGTATGAGCAGCAGGGAATCCTCCACATCCCCTGCACAACCGAGGTCTTCCGATCCATCATTGGTGCCATCAGAAAGCCCAAGTCCTGACATTTGCTGCTGCTGCTCTCCATTTTTCCTCTTGGTTTCTCTGCAAATGTATTAGCTTAGTTGTGCAGGTTTCTGCTAAACTGTGGTTGTAGGCAGGTTGACCTCCAGCTCTCCACTGTCCACCTGTACAAGTACAAGCAAGGGTTGTAAATCTGTGTCATAACTCATATCAAATCACTGCAATAAGTTGCTATGATGAGATTTTGCAAAAATTATGGCTATTGCACCCATTTAATCAAAAGTGTGCAAAGATCCAGAAAGGGCTAGAAATAGACTTCGGTTCCCTGTACAGGGAGTAGCTACTTCCCTTTTTATGGCATCTTGTGTTCCCTATACAGAGTGACAGTGTATTTCGTTGCGGCGGTTTAGTCTCTCGTTCATGGCATGTGTATCAGTATGACGAATGGTCGTCATAGAACTTCTCTATGATGATGAAGTAAGCAATCTGCCTGCTGAAACGCTACATCAGGATTTCGTCGAGGTACAAAACTCCTGTCATGCTCTCTATGATTCAGACATTCAGTTAACCGTGGTTGGCTACTCGTCTGGTCGCGGCAAATTTTGTTGTCACTTGTCAAGGAGCTTCTGTCCAGGTTAAGTTTTTTTTGAGAAATTGTCTAGGTTGAGTTAAGAAGCTTTTTTTTTTACCGACGAAAGAAGAATTATATTAGATGAAAGTTGGGTACATCAACATGTTACAAGCACTCTGGATTACATAAATATCCAGAAACTGATTGTCATCTAAATTATACCCACACTGTGAATAGCTCCAGATCTCAAAACCAAGTATGGATAACCGCACAGTAAATACTCGGCAAAAGGCCTGAGAACAGATGTCCAACAAATGACGGCCAACATTCATGTAGGTGGAGTTGAGAAACTTCTTCTTTCTGGTATCTTCCTCCTTGCTTCTGCGCATCTGCCACCGAAGAATGAGGAAGACTGATCTGAAACTTATTCTCCTTGTATATGTCCATGCAGTCCGCGACAGCCCCGCACGAAGCCCGCTTTTTTAGCCCGGCACGAGCACCGCACGACCCGATGGTGAGCAGGCCTGGGCCAGCCCGGCCCGATGTACAGGGCCGTGCCTGGGCCGCTGCTTGGGCACGGCGGGCGGCACGACACGGCATGGCCCGGTAAAAAGAAAAAGGCCCGGTGGCGCCCCATCAGATTGGTAACTCCTGGAATTTAGAATTTGGCCCAACCCACAACTCACATATATAACCTTCTACTTTCTAACCCTAGTTTCTCACTTTCTCTCCCCACCCGACCTATGACGGCCGCCTCCGCTCTTCTCTGCGAGCCACGAGTCACGTCGCGACTTCTTCCCCCTCCCCCCGTGGATCTGCTCCTCCTTCCGCCTCCGCTCTTCTCTGTGACTCTACGAGCCGCGAGTCGCGTCACGACTTCTTCCCCTCCCCCTGTGGCTCTGCTCCTCCCTCCTTCCCCGCTGCCGATCTCCGCACCGCCTCCCTCGCGGCGCATCTCCCCGCTCGGCGTGGAGGCTGTGCGGTGGCAGCGGCGCTCCCCCACACCTCCGCTCCTCCCTTGTGATGCGACGGTGATGCTTCCCCGCACCTCAGCTCTCCCTCCCTCCTTTTCCGATGCGGCGGTGGAGCTCAGCGCAATGGAGATGCGGGCCTCGGGCTGGCCCGACCTGCCGGAGAGGCCATGCCTGGGCCGATGGCCAGGCACGAAGCACGTCCTCGCCACGGATCTTACCACAATAAAACGGAGAAGTGATCAGAGAAGATTATTCCATGGCAGCGACACCATCTCCGCCTTGATGTCGCCGTCCGGAAATAAAAGTCTCTATGTCGTCAAACCGATGAGGATGTTGACACCATAGTTGTCGCCTTGATCTTCAACAGAGCCACTTTGGAGAAAACGATTCCACCCTGCCCTCTCGTCGTCACCGGAGAGGAGGAGAAGAAAATAAATCCCCAAAAACAAGAAACTTGACATGGAGAGACCCTAATCCTAAAAACTCGATCTACTGAAAAACTTATTAAAAACGATAGATCCGCACTTCCTTCGCCCTCCGGCGATATGCCGGAGGAGGGAGGGAGGGGACCAACGGTGGTGGAGGCAAGGGTGGCGGCGCTCGGCTCGAGTCGCGAGACCCTGTTCGGGTCAGGGGTCACTATTGTATTGCATCACGTGTCACGATGTGCTGTCCTCTGTGGGCCCCAGTATTTATCTGCCTAGTGTTGGGCTTCAAAGAAGAGAGCGGCGTGCCTAAGCGGGCTACCATTTCGGCCGTAAAGACTCTAAGGTCCGAATCACATTCCACGATGGGCTGTGTGAAGCCCATCACACAGCCTGTTAACATTCGTGGAACTGACTGGTGGGAATTGGGCGCTAACCGTGACCGAAAATCACTAGGTGGGGCCAGGGATCCTCACCGAAGCCATCCCAGCCAATCAGATCGCAGATCACCGAACCTGCGGATCGTCCTCGCCAGCAGCGCTACCCTCACCGTCCATCCCAATCCAACGGCCCAAATTTCCCCGCCGCCCGTGCCAGCGCCTCCCGAAAATTTTCGGCATCCCTCCGTGCCCGCCCAAGAACACCCTCTGCCACCAGTACAAATAAACGCAAATCCTCCTCCCACGGCAGACCGCATCGCAGCTTGCAATCCCCCATCCCCCGCCCAAATCCTCCTCCAATCTCCCAAGCCGGCACCGATGGCCCGCACGAAGCAGACGGCGCGCAAGTCGACAGGCGGCAAGGCGCCGCGGAAGCAGCTGGCGACGAAGGCGGCGCGCAAGTCGGCCCCCGCCACCGGCGGCGTGAAGAAGCCGCACCGGTTTCGCCCGGGCACGGTGGCGCTGCGTGAGATCCGCAAGTACCAGAAGAGCACGGAGCTGCTGATCCGGAAGCTCCCCTTCCAGCGGCTGGTGCGGGAGATCGCGCAGGACTTCAAGACGGACCTCCGGTTCCAGTCCTCCGCCGTGGCGGCGCTGCAGGAGGCCGCCGAGGCATACCTCGTGGGCCTCTTCGAGGACACCAACCTCTGCGCCATCCACGCCAAGCGCGTCACCATCATGCCCAAGGACATCCAGCTCGCCCGCCGCATCAGGGGCGAGAGGGCCTGAGCTGCTGCCCCTGTTGCGTTTCCTTCGCCTTTCTGGTTCTGCAGTGCGAAGAACTACTGCTCGCGTCCTATCTTGCAGTAGAAATGTTCTGTATGATGTGTTGGTCTCGACGCAATGCAATGTGATTGTGGTTTCTGATTCTTACAAGAGCTGCCATGTGATACTGTCATCCGTGCTGCTTGTTCTGTTCTTACTGCTAAGAATGTGATTGTTACTATTAATGCATTATGAACTGGACGGGTTGTACCTGCTGATTCAGGTTTGGGCATAAGATTATATATATAATAAAGTATAACTGTCCAGTGGGACGCGGTTCTTGACTTGTTTAGTGGTGCGGCTGATTGTAAGCATCTGCCTGCCGAACTGAAACGGTGTTTCAGACTGTCAGCGTTTGTTTCTGCATTTCTGCTTCTGAATCGAATCAACGCTCTCCAATGGTTTAGTGGCTGTGAAACCACACATCTGCCTCGTCTGCTACTGTGCTATGCCGGTAAAATGAAACCGTTTAATCCATTCTCTCGAGATTATCTTTTCTCCTTTTTAAATCAGAGCCTTTTAATTCAACAAGGCAGTAAACCACAGGAGGCAAAGGTTTAGTTGCAGACACGTGAACTCAAACACGACTGTAGAGAAACTACTTTTAGCTAATTCTCGATGGACTAGGAGTCACGATCCCTGGTAAGAGTAAGTCGCAACCGTTTCCACAAAGGCACAAGGTGACTACAATGTTTTCAACGGCTTTTATTGTGGTCTCCCAAAGATTGTTTCAATCGACGACCTGGGCAACGGTGCCATGTTGCGACTAGTGACATTTGGTGGGTCCAGGGAAAGTTAAATTGGATTTTCTTTGTTCCGTTAATGACTCTTTCTAGTTCATGAACATTGGATGAAATGCAATCAGAGCATTTTTTTTAATGAGACACTCAGCCAGCACAATGAGCTTTTCTCCGTAGTAATGGGAAGCTTTGTTTTACGCTAAAAACTAATTTTGTGATCCACTAGTAAATGGTCCTGATGACGTTGACGTGTCTGAAACCGTAGTTATCTGTTGTTCTGTTGACGAGTGCGGCCTCCCAAAGATGGTCGCCAGCAACCTCGGCAGCAGTGGCATGTCGCAGTCCAAGACGCCCTCCAGCACCTGAACCACTTCCGCCATGGTCGGCCGGTCAGCCTCGTCGTTCTGGATGCACCAGCAAGCCACCTTGCAGGCTCTCTCCACCTCCACGAGATCGGCATCGCCGCAGAGCTTATCATCCAGCAGACTGCTGACGCAGACTACGCCCGGCCCCTTGACTAGCTCCCTCGCAGCTTTCATGGGGAAGAACGCGAGCTCCTCCTCCCCGGCGTCGCCGCTGGTCGTGCGGTACTCCTCGCCGGCGGCGTTCCTCCTCCCCGACACGAGCTCTAGCAGCACCATGCCGTAGCTGTACACATCGACCTTGGGCGTGACGGCCGTGCCGCTGATCCACTCCGGCGCGAGGTAGCCCTTGGTGCCCCTCACCGTGGTGAGCACCCGGCTGAAGTCCCTCCCGACGAACTTGGCCATCCCGAAGTCGGCGATCTTCGGGAGCAGCGACGCGCCCAGCAGGATGTTCTCCGGCTTCACGTCGCAGTGGATGATGCGGTCCCGGCAGCCGTCGTGGAGGTAGGACAGGCCCCTGGCGACGCCCACAGCGATCTGGTACCGGGTGCCCCAGTCCAGGAACACACCGCCGCCGCTCTGGAACAGGTGGATGTCGAGGGACCGGTTCGGCATGTGCTCGTAGACGAGGAACCGGCTCTCGCCCTCGCAGCAGAAGCCCACCAGCCTCACCAGGTTGACGTGCTGGATGACGCCGATGGAGCTCACTTCCGCTCTGAACTGCTTCTCTCCCTGGAAGCTCCCGTCCAGCCTCTTCACCGCGACGGCGGTGGAGTCGCGCAGCTGCCCCTTGAAGACGGCGCCGATGCCACCTTGCCCGAGCTTTTCGGAGAAATTCTTGGTCGCGGAACGCAGCTCTCTGTATGAAAGGCCGTGAGCCCACCACCCGCAGCAGCTCCTCGATCGTCGTTCTTGGTTTTCTTCCTCCTCCGGATGATCAATGCTGTTGCGAGCACCAGCAAAACCAAAAGCAGCAGTGCACGCACCGGCCACGGCGCCGACGATCACTCCTCGTTTCCTGCCTCCTGATGTCTGAAATTCTCTTGCAGCGAGACGAAGATAGAGAGTTTCTACGTCAGAAACAGAATCGCCGCCGTTGCTTTGCGGTTGTTCCGCGTCGAGCAACCCATCCTGCCAAACCAGGCAGCCCTGGCTGCCACCATAGGAATACGCAGTGCACGGGCAGTTGTTCAGGCAGGCCGTCGAGCATTCTGCTGAACTCCTCACATTCTGCATGGTACGCCCGCTGTCAGGCAGCACAATGCTGGGCATGGGGAAGAACCCATCAGTTCAAGACGGTGCAGTACTACCATTGCTGCTACCAGCACTACAATCCAGTGGAGCATCTCTGACGCATCCTCCTGTCCGGTCACCCTGCTCCCAGTCCACCGGCGACCTCACCGAGAAGCCCTTCATGCAGCTACAGAGCTGCACCGCAGTGTACCTGCAGACTGTGAACGGCCCGCAGGCGGCGTACACGTCACACTGCGCCTTGGGCCCCGCGTAGAGCGTCAGCCAGCCCTTGAACGCGCCGAGCCACACCTGGTGCCTGTTCTGCCCGGTGACTCCGTGGTCACGTTGAGCTGGAGGTACTCGTTGTTAGGCTGAGCTCCACCAATTTAATCCAACGGTTAATTGGACCCTTACTCGTGCTCTGATCGGGGGTGTCCGGCCGCTCTACTGGCTGGTTGGCCCCGTCGCGCAGCGCTATGAATAGGTGGTGGGGGCTAGGGCTTGGGGCACAAGGTTCACCGTAGCCGTCAGTTCCCCACCGAGTCTAACCCTAGTCCGATCTAGAGGACGCGCTGTGAGTGACGGGAAGCTCCACCATCGCCTTCGCCGCCGCCACTGGACCGCGCCTGCACGACTTCCCCTACTCCGACACCAGTGGCCACGTCACTGCGGCACCATGGCCGCGACTACGTTTGGCGACCCAAGTCTTCTATCTAAGCTAAGTATTACTCACTTATCAACGCCTAGAAGTACTTTCAGATCCATCAATGGCATCAAGAGCCAGGTTCTAGTGCGAGATTTAGACTGGTGTAGAAAAATAAAAAGAAATTAGAAAGAGAACATAACCCTAACCCTAACCCTAACCCTAGAGAGAGAAGCAAGGACGGAGAGGGGGGTTCCTACCTGGGGCCCGGCCGTCGTCTGGACGCCGCGCGGGAAGAAAAGCTGAGAAAGAAGAAGGGAACGGATATAAGGGGTTCCTACCTGGGGCCCGGCCGTCCCGTCGCCACCGCCGGCCGTCGTCTGGACGCCGTGTGGGAAGAAAACTCGAGCTGTCCGGGGGAGCGAGGTCTCGCTGCCATCGCGCTTTCCGCCTCGGGCCATAGGGCACCACCGCGGAGCCGCTCGACGGCGCCGCGCGCGGTTTCGGCCGCACGCGTGCGCCGACGAGGGGTACCACGGCGGCGCCGTCACCTTCCGCGCCGTCGCGTTTTTTCTCAGGTGCGAGCGGCTGCGGCGGCTGCAGTGGGTGACGAAGAGAGCGGAAAAGCTAGGGTTTAGGGCAAGAAAGGGCACTGTCGCCCAGACCGCTCGACGGCAGTGCACTCTGCCTAGGGTGAGCGCGGGCGCCGGCGAGGGGACCGGCAGCGTCGCTGCTGCGCTACTCCTTCTCTCTTCCGACTGCAGCGCTAAGGAGGAGAGAGAAAGGGAACGGGGAAATGAAACTAGGGTTTCGGGTGAGACGGCCGCGATGGCGTTTTGATCTCGCGCAAATGATGGCTGACCATCCGATCGCGATGAACGCCCAGCATTGCTCGGGCTTCTTTCAGCCCAGGCGGGGTTGGAGATTCCCGGCCCAGGCCCAGGTTGCGGCCTGGGCGCGGGGGAGCGGGCACGCGCGCCGTGTTGAGCCGCCGCTGGGCCACGCGCGCGGATGCGAAACAGACTGGTCCGCGTACTGTTTCGCCAGGTCGGGCCGAATGAATAGTAAATGCAGAGTTAATTGTTTTATTATTTTTAGAAGCAAATTTTGATGATTTTTGTCTATTTTAAATCTCTATTAAAATTTGAACCAATATGATAATTTTTCAGAGAGTAGATGAGTATAGTAAAATGCTTCTGAAAAGTAGATAATAAATTTTTTCATGTTTCCGCTGCAAAATTTAATGTTGATTATCTTCCAATTAAATTCGAACCAACAGAAGAATTTAATTCGAACCAACGGAAAAATTTAAGTTAGAGGAGTAGTACATTTTGTTTATGTTAAATTATGATATTGTTATTTTCTGACCAACGTTGAAGATAACAATATCATAATGAGTTTAAGTTTGAAGTTTAAATCTCTGATAAATTTTACACGAACATGGTCAATTTTTCACCTGAACCAATATAATGTATTTTATTATCATGTTTCCGCTGCAATGGTGTTGATTATCTTTTAATTAAATTCGAACCAACGGGAGAATTTAATTTTAAAGAGTAGTTATATGTTTTCAAGTTAATTTATACGTTTTATGCATTAATTCTATTTTCTGTCCAACGGTGATATAAAATTGATGCAGAAGCACCTTGTATGTTTTGATTTTAGACAAGATCATTCGGCTGTATGCTAACGGACTGCAATGCTAGGCTACGTGAATGAAAAGGCTTGAGTCAGTTTAGGATTGTTTTTTGTTAGTTTATTAATTTTCTGATTAAATTGAAACCAACGGGAAGATTTAATTAGAAAATGAAGTATAAGTGAATATTTTATGATAAGAGTTTCAATAAGTAACATGCATGTCTAATTTGGCCAACGTTGGATTAGGCATGCATGTTTGTATATAGATTTATCCCGCATGGGAAGAAGTTTGGCATAGTACTTATGCTAGTCAATCCTGTATGATGGAAGAAGTTTTGTGACGACTCATGTTTTTTATCCCGCATAGCGAGAGAAGTTTAGGTAGCTCTTATGCTATCCTAGTATTTACCATAGTACAATAGAAATGCACCATCGTGGTCAATACTAATCAAACGATATGAAAAAAGATACAAGTGTTGAAAGCTCTAGTTTGATTTTGGTGAATTGATGAAACCCTAAGTGTTAACCTAGCTTATCAAGTGATCATGAGATTGGTAGCACAATCCAAGTGGTGAAGCATATGAAGATCATGACATGATGATGGTGATGCCATGGTGATGATCAAGTGCTTGAACTTGAAAAGAAGAAAGAGAAAAACAAAAGGCTCAAGGCAAAGATATAAATGGTAGGAGTCGTTTTGTTTTGGTGATCAAGACACTTAGTGAGTGTGATCACATTTAGGATTGATAGCCGTACTATTAAGAGGGGTGAAACTCGTATCAAAATACGGTTATCAAAGTGCTACTAGATGCTCTAACTCATTGCATATGCATTTAGGATCTAGTGGAGTGCTAACACCCTTGAAAATGTTTGTGAAAATATGCTAACACATGTGCACAAGGTGATACACTTGGTGGTTGGCACATTTGAGCAAGAGTTAGGAACTTCACCGGCGGAGTGTCCGACGGTGCCACCGGCGCCCTAGACAGAAAAGACGGAGGTCACTGGAAGTGACCGGACGCTGGCCTCGGTTGGACCGGCGCGTCCGGTTAGGTGGAGCATGAAGTCGCTGGCGTCAGTCTCTGATCGGACGCTGGGTCACTTAGTGACCGGACGCTGGAGGGGTGCATCCGGTCCTACTGATGTGGCAGCGCACAGAAGAGTCACCGAGTGACCGGACGCTGGAGCTCAACGTCCGGTCACTTTGACTTGCTACGTCCGATCATCACTTGACCGTTGAGTTCGGGCGATCGACATTTGAAGAGAGGGGACACATGGCGTGCATCGCGCGACCGGACGCTGAGGTCCAGCGTCCGGTCAATCTGACCGGCGCGTCCGGTCGGCCCGTCTTTAGTGCAGTGAGGAGCCCAACGGCTCTATTCGTGGGGGCTCTCTATTTAAGCCCCGTGGCCGACTCGAGCTCACTCTCTTAGCCATTTGCATTGATATAGCAACCTTGTGAGCTTAGCCAAAGCCCTCCCACTCATCTCCATCATTGATTCATCATCTTTGTGAGATTGGGAGAGAATCCAAGTGCATTGCTTGAGTGTTTGCATCTAGAGGCACTTGGTGTTCGTGTTTCGCTGTGGGATTCGCTTGTTACTCTTGGTGGTTGCCGCCACCTAGACGGCTTGGAGCAGCGAGGATCGTCGAGCGGAGGGTGGTGATTGTCTCTAGCTCCGATCGTGGTGATTGTGAGGGGTTCTTGACCTTTTCCCGGCGGAGAGACAAAAGGTACTCTAGTGGATTGCTCGTGGCTTATGTGATCCTCATCTTGTGTTGGTTGTGCGGCACCCTATTGAGGGTTTGATGTGTGATGCCAATTAGCGCGTGAACCTCCAAGTGAGTGAATCGCCACAACGAGGAGTAGCTTGCTGGCAAGCAAGTGAACCTCGGTAAAAAATCATTGTGTTCATCATTTGATTCCGAGGTGATTGGTCTTCATTTGTATTCATTCTTATGATTGATTGGCTCCTTCCTCGACATGGCGGTATAAACAAATTACTCACTCTCTTTATATTACCGCAAACTAGTTGTCAAGCTCTTTAGTGTAGCTAGTTGTGAGAGCTTGTTAGCTTGGTTAGTGTGGCTCTTTAGTTAGCTTTTGAGAGTGCACTAACTTAGTGTAGTGACATATCTATTGTGTGAATAGAAACTATAAACTAGAATTGTGGTAGGTGGCTTGCAATTTTAGTAGGCTAGCGCAACACTTGCTTTGCCTTATAATTGTCTAACCGGTTTGTTAAGTATTGTTGTAGAAATTTTTAATAGGCTATTCACCCCCCTCTAGCCATTAGGACCTTACAAGCGTGACTTGCAAAAATACAGTTAATAAAAGACCTCGTTGAGTTCTTGAAGTGAAATAAGGAAAGAGTACTCCTATACGGATCAAGAAATAACTTTATTTGTATGGCATAATCATGTGAATGAAGTAAGTCATAAATGTCTCCTCGTTCATAGTTATTTTAATAGTTCTCGAAATTATGACAGTAAAGTTCATGCCATATTTCGAGGGAGAGTATTGTGAGATGAATTAAGAGTAAGAATTAAGATTAATTAAGAAACTACTCTTCATTAAGAGTGAGATAAAGATTTTGATGAATATGTACTCAGTAAGAATTAAGATCAATTAAGAAACTACTCTTCATTAAGAGTGAGATAAAGATTTTGATGAATATGTACTCAGTAAGAATTAAGATCAATTAAGAAACTACTCTTCATTAAGAGTGAGATAAAGATGTTGATGAATGTGTACTCT